TCCCAGGGCCTCCCTGTACACACCGAGCAGCATGTATGCGTGCTCATGATCTGGGCTGGCTGAGGCTGGGGGTACCTCACACCAGGAGGACCGTGTTGGGGTGCCCGTCTCTCTGTTTCTCATAGAAGAAATAAATAAACTGTAAAAATATTGACTTAGTAATTAATAACCATCCAAAGCAGAAGGTACCAGGCCCAGATAGGTTCTCCAGTAATTTCTACCAGGCATTTAAGGAAGACGTTACACCACTTCTCTGCAATGTCTTTCAAGGGATAGAAGCAAAGTAAATACTTCCTTACTCATTCTGTGATGCCAGCGTTATGCTAATATTAAAACCAAACACAGTACAAGGAAATTAGACCAATATCTCTCAGGAACGCAGATGTTTCAAGTTGGAAAATTGTGAATAAAGATGCTAAAAGCACCATGTGCAGGTTTTTATGTGAACATAGTTTTCCAGCCTCTTTGGTTAAATACTAAAGAGCAAGCAAGATAGCTGGGCCGTATGGTTGTCTGAGATGCTATTAGACTTCAGATGGAGACATCACGCAGAGCATTTAGATTCACCAGTCTCAGTGTTGTGAATCGGACTGGAGGTGTCAACTGGGCACAGTGGGGAATATTAGGTACTTAATGCTAAGGGACTGGGACTAGCAGGTGGCATAGAGGTTAAGGCAACTGAATCCCACATGGCTTACTGTGTGGCTTAAGTCCCGAACCAGGCAGTTTGAAAATCACTGTGGGCATCTGTGTGTGTGTGCCCAAAATCCTGAGAGGAGAATGGAGAAGAAAGGATTGTACCATGGCCTTCGTCCCTGGGGAGTGATTTCTCACTTTCCATCTCAGTGTCTCTTTCTGGCAAGTGCACACACCCTGTGGCAAAAACATTTTTGTTATTTATTTATTTTAAAAAGGAAGAGGAACCAGCAAAAGCTACTGAAAGGGGTCTCTAGGGAGATGGGAAGACAACTCTTAAGAATGTGGTATCTCAGAAATCGAGTGAAGAGGGAACAATCAGCTGTCAGTGCCTTGCACAGGTTAAGAAAGAACAGGGGGACCAGCAGTTAGCGTAATGGCTATGTCGCTGGACTCCCATGTAGTCGACTGCGGTTCGCGTCCTGACCCGGTGGCTTAAAACTCACGCCGGGTGCATGTGCGTGCGTGCCCAAGATCGCGAGAGGAGAATGGAGGAGAAGGGATTGCAGCGTGACCATCCCCCCAGGGGGTGATTTCTCGCTTTCTGTCTCTGTCTGTCTAGTAAGCCCACGCGCCCTATAGCAAAAACCTCTCCAAAAAAAGAAAGAAAAAAAAAAAAAAGGAAGAACAGGGATTTAAGAACTTGTATTAGTGCTTTGTTCTAGCCCTGTCAGCTGTCTCGATGACAGCATGTGGCATTGTCCCATGGGAGAGGTTTTTGGAAGGGATTAAATCATCTAGAATTAGATTCGGCTGCATAATTTTGAAGAAAAGAATGTAGCAGTGTTTAAAAACGTAGATTACTTCTTTCACATTAAACACTGAGCTAGGCTGCCCTGGTTGTACTGCGTCTTCGTGATGTTGTCAGAGGCACAGGGGTAGTCCAGCTCCTGGTCCCTTCCCCAGGCCGCGGCAGCTGGAGTGTGGCCAGCCTGTCACCTTTCCAGCAGTGCAGAAACGGGAGGACGTGCCTTATTCCTTTCAGGGAGACTTTTGAGAAATGGCCTTCTTTATATCCCGCTTCCCAAAACTTGATCACTCATCACGCCTAGCTGTAAGGAAAACTGAGAAACTAATCTCTCAGTTGGGTGGCAGTGCATTCTACTGAATCAGAATTCTGTTGCAAAAGAAAGGAATATGGGTATTTAGGGGTTACTAGCAGTTTCTGGCCAGGGTCTTCTCCAATGAGACCACTAGGCTTATTTGTTCCAACCCACCTGTGTTCCTAGCCAGAGGAAAGGGTGTGTGTTTGCGTTCTTGCTCTCATGACTCATTAATTCCCCCCATATCCATGTCCTGCTTGCTATTAGTGACCTCTCCCCCCACTGGTAGTGTGCTGTGAACACTGCCATGTCCTAATTGTTGTGCTTTCAAGTTTCAGTAGCTGGATAGAGCCCACCTCATGAACACACCGTAGTTTTCTGTTGACACTTAGGTCATTTCAGACTTTTGGTATCGTAAGCAAGGCTGCAGTAAACGTCTTCGTGCCTTTGGGAGAGAAGGAGAGGGGCACATGGTTAATAGTCTCCCCCAGGATGGCATCTTATAAATAGAGCTAGTTGGTGTCTCAGTAGTACAACAGGACAGTCTGCAAGGCTGACCCAGATGAGGAGGTTCTAGGTTCTCACCCAGTGCTCCTTAAGTATGCCAGGAGTGTGTGCCCATGATCCAGGGCTACCTGAAGCTGGGGGTGGGTCGAGGTGTTGAGACCCTGTTGGGGGTGCTGTCTATCTTCTTTATGGAAGAATAAATAAACAAACAAACAAAGAAATGGAATTGCAGAGTCAAAGGATTTTTGTTTTTGTTTTTGTTTCTGTTTTGTTCCTTTTGGAGAGATTTTCGCTATAGGGCACGTGCGCTCGCCAGACAGACAGAGAGAGACATAGAGACAGAAAGCGAGAAATCACCCCCCAGGGGGGATGGTCACACCACAATCCCTTCTCCTCCATTCTCCTCTCGGGATTTTGGGCATGCACACACACGCGCCCGGCGTGAGTTTTAAGCCACCGGGTCCGGGACGCGAACCGCGGTCGACTACGTGGGAGTCCAGCGACATAGCCATTACGCCAACTGCTGGTTCCCAGAGTCAAAGGATGTTAATAGACATACCAAGAGTATCTGCTCAATAGATTGACAGTTGCTACCACACTGTTCTTAAGTATATATACTATTCTTTTTTTTTTTGGAGAGATTTTCACTGTAGGGCGCGTGCGCTCGCCAGACAGACAGAGAGAGACATAGAGACAGAAAGCGAGAAATCACCCCCCAGGGGGGATGGTCACGCCGCAATCCCTTCTCCTCCATTCTCCTCTCGGGATCTTGGGCACGCACGCACACGCGCCCGGCATGAGTTTTAAGCCACCGGGTCTGGGACACGAACCGCGGTCGACTATGTGGGAGTCCAGTGACATAGCCATTACGCTAACTGCTGGTTCCCTCAGTATATATACTATTCTTAAGTGTATTAATTTAATTAATGCATCCAACTACCCTCTCATAATTACTGTATGAAGAAACTGAGGCACTGATTGGTTAAGGCACTTGTGCCACACTGCAGTGATTCGGCAAGACTATAGACACGTCACCCAGCACACTGCCTGGCTGCTTTATGAGGAATATTTTTAAGAGTTGTCATGTACAACTGCCAGTTTGCCTGACCGAACACATGATGCTAAGTTCACTTCCACTCGCTAGTACAGCCAGAAACAAACCTTCCAGTGGCATATTTGCTTCTTTTAATAAATTAACATGGGGCCTGATACATATCAATCTTGTGCATCTAAGTTCATTTAGAAATACAGCCTTAGGGCCAGCACGTGGATCCCATATGGCCAACTCCACGATTTGAGTCCTAGATACGGGATCTTGAAAAACATGCCAAGTGCGTGTGCGTGCGTATCCAAAATCCTTAGAGGAGAATGGAGAAAGGATTGTGCGGCGTGGCCGTCCTATGGCCATGGGGAATGATTTCTCACTTTTCCTCCTTTTCTGTCTCTCTTCCTCCAGTGAGCACACACATCGTATGGCAGAAATCTACCAAAAAGAAAAAGAAAGAAAGAAATGCAACCTTGTACATCCAAGTTCAGTTGATTCTTCTCCTTTTTTTTGAGAGAGATTTTTGTTAGAGGGTACACATTCTCACTGGAGAGACAGAGACAGAAAGTGAGAAATCACTCCCCCTTGGGGGCATGGCCACACTGCAATCTCTTCTTCATTCTTCTCTTAGGATTTTAGGCATGCATACACATGTACCCAGTGTGATTTTTCAAGCCACCCAGTCTGGGACTCGAACCACGATTGACTTCATGGGAGTCTAGTGACATAACCATTATGCCATTTGCTGGTCCCAGATTCAGTTGATTTTTTTTTTTTTTTTTTTGAGAGAGAGGTTTTTGCTATAGAGCGTGTGCGCTCGCCAGAAAGACAGAGAGAGACAGAGAGACAGAAAGCGAGAAATCACCCCCCAGGGGGAATGGTCACGCCACAATCCCTTCTCCTCCATTCTCCTCTCAGGATCTTGGGCATGCACGCACACGGGCCCGGTGTGAGTTTAAGCCACCAGTTCTAGGACTTGAACTGCTGTCGACTACATGGGAGTCCAGTGACATAGCCATTACGCTAATTGCTGGTCCCTGATTCAGTTGATTTCTTAATATTCACAGTCGTTATGGTTAGTAAGTCCTATGAACTCTGAATTAGCAAGTACTGAACATTATTCATGCTCCCAGGGAAATATAGGTTAAGTTCCTGTGAGCCTTTGGTCAAAACATTTTAATTAACTGATCAATCCATAGCGTGTTTGTATGTGTTTCTGCTTAGAGATACCTTGATACATATTGTTATTCATTAACATTGAGCTCACGGCTAACAGCACTCCGTTCAGGCCTAAAGGAAACTTCTCTAACACATGTGTTTTCTCCCTAAGGCACGTCACAGCCTTCTTGCCCTTAGGAACTCTAGGCAGCCCTTCAGCACTATGCTTGGGGACATTTTCAACAGTGCAGCCACCAAGAAAAAGCATAAAAATGCAAAAAAACACCTGGCATTGAGTGGACCGCAGGTAGGACAGTTGTTCACAGTGTAAGGGCTGGAACAGGCAGCATCACCCTGCCCTACCTGAGCTGGGAATGTGTGCTCGCCTCTGCGCCCGTGTCTGAGAATGACTGCTGTGAGCATCGATTGGGGAATTAGCAATACATTTTAGCAAGTAGGTACATGGCAAGTAGAAATCGGGCAGTAAGGAGAATCGACTGCGTTTCTATTTCCATCTTCAGCTGATTGCTTTTCTCTCCTTGTTTTCACAGCCCATTCGAGGAACCGGTTTATGATTCTACTACCGATTACACTGTGTGTGGCAGCTGCAATGTGTCTGGTGCTGTTTGTGCAAGGTATGTGTGCTTTGTAAGAACTAGTTTTTAAACCTGAGTTGTGTTTTCAAAGGCCAGAGAGTAGTTTGAAGATGAAAATGAATGAGAACCACGATCACTCTATGGCCACAGCTTGGGATGAAGGACTAGACGAATGAGTGGAGACAGGACACTGGCTTAGGGTTAATGAGCTCATCCAGTCAAGCAGGGGCGAGGGCCTGCGTCAGGGTGGTGGTGGCAGAAGTGATATGCAGGGCTAGGTTTGAGAGGAACTGGAGGTGCAGGTCCCGGTAACAAAGCTTTCAGTTGAGAATGCAGGCTCTGGGGCCAGACTCCCCGGTTCTTCTCCAGCTCCATCTCTCACAGGCCTCAGAGAAGTCCCAGCGGTATCTGTAGAGCCCTTGAGATGTGGGGATCCAAATTACGATGTGTCGTGAGTGTAAAATTCACACCAGATCTCTAAGACTTACTAGGTCGTCGGCAAAGGCATGACATATTTTCCTATGATTTTTCTATGCAAAAACGTGTCATGACTTTCCTCACAACCAATATTATGAAGAAAAGTGAAAGATTTCATTAATAATGTTTACATTAATTACATGTCAAAATGATATTTTTGATATATTAGGTTAAATAAAATAAGCACCTTTTTAACTTTATTTATTTTAATTTGACCAGAGAGAGACACACACACACAGAGAAAGTGAGAAAGCAAGCCGCCAGGTCTGGCCATGCCTCAAACTGCAGTCGGCCATGTGGGAGTCCAGTGCACTTAACCACCACGCCACCTGCCGGACCCACTAAACATTTTTAATTACTGGCTCACATTGTGTTTCTGTTGGACAGCCTTACTCCAAACCATTGTCATCTTTTCTTCATCTTTAGTGTTATGCACAAGATGCTGTAAAATTAACCATTTTGTTGGTAGTTTTTTTGGTTTTCTGTCACATTCCAACCACATTTTTTTATTGCCAGAGGGCATGTGCATTTCTGTGAGAGAGAAAGAACCTCCTTATGAACATGGTCATGCTGTAATCCCTTCCCCACTTCTCTAGCCTGTTGGAATTTGGGTTATGCATGTATAGGCACGTAACATGTTTTTCAAACTGGGGCCAGGACTTGAACCTTGGTCAGCCATGTGGGATCTCAATTACTGGGCTATTGGGCTGGCCCCTCTGACTAATTTTTGAAAAATTCTTTGGGCCAACTCTAGCCAATTTGAATAAGCATTTCCGAGAGTAGGAAATCCCAGTTTGACAGGGCTCTGGTTTGGAGTTTCCAAATTTAGCTCTCTATTAGGCAGTCCATCACCCCTAGAGTTTTAGCATCTCTTTCCAGTTCTTTAACTGAGATGAAAATTTCTTCATTTTTAGGCATTCTGAAATGTAGCAGAGATACAGACAGAACCAAGTAAGTACCACGTAGATGGTGCCACGGATAAATTGTGTGTCATGTATGGAGTAAGATAATCAGTTACATTGCTAGAAAGCAGTGTAGTGGGGGAGATTGAAATCCAGGTCTGTGCACTCTCAGCGTTATCCTCCCTCCACCTTCAGTCCCGGGAAAAGTGGGACCAAGGTTGGGTTCACTTCAGGAGCCAAGGTCAGAGTTGAGCCTGTAGTCACAAGCAAAAGACAAGACAGAAACACAATTCATGGTGGCACTGTCGGTTGCCATAGATAGCTCTAGAAGGCCCTCTCCCAGCATCTCCCATGGGTGGTTAGGAAAAGAGGCCTATCATCTGAGTTCTGAGGGACGAGGGCAAGACTAAGGGCCAGGGATGTAACGGACTGGATGTAGGGAGGAGGGCGTTGTCTTCTTTGGAGCAGTTAGTGTTGAGTGGTTAGAGGACGATGGAGCTGGACCAGCAGATCAGGCCAGGCTGACACACTGAGCGAGACCTGCCAAGGGGTTTGGGTCATTTGCAGGGAGAACCACTGAGACTGACTAGCAGAGCTGTGTTGTAGTCAGATCACTCTGCTGCCAAAGCATGGGGCGAATGAACAGACCAGAGAGTTAATGGAGACGGACACATTGGTTAGCAGACTAATGAGACAATCCATCCAGAAAGAAAGCCTGACTCTGGCTGTTGGCAGAAATGATACGCAGGGCTGGGTTTGAGAGAAACTGAGGAGGCGCAGGTCTTCGTAACGAAACTTCCAGCTGAGGGTGCAAGCTCTGGCACGGCTTCCTTTCTTCTGGGCCTCAGATGAGTCACTTCAACTTCTGTGGCTCGGTTGGCTTCTGTGGAAAATGGACATACCAGAAGCATAGAAATAACAATGATAATGTAGATGATAGCCCCAATAGGGCTAGCCCATGGCCTGGTGGTTAAGGTGATTGGATCCCATGTGGCTGACCACAGTTCAAGTCCTGGACCCAACAGCTTGGAAAACACACGGGAACATATACATGCATGCCTGAGATCCTGAAAGAAGGGGGAAATGGAGAAGGGATTGCATGACCGTCACCCCCTGTGAGAGGTGCTCTCTTGCTTTTTCTATCTCTCTGACTCTCTCTGGTTAGTTTACCTGCCCTCCAGCAAAAATGTTTTTAAAATACAGTTAACATAAAAAATAAAGAACAAGCACTATGTAGAAAGATGTTGGGGCCAGCAGGTCGTGTGGTGAGTAAGGCACTGGATTCCTACATGGCCAGTGGTGCTTCAAGTAATGGACTTCGCAGCTTGAAAATTATGCAGGACACACATGTGTGCGTGCCCAGAATTCCAGGAGAATGGAGGAGATGGGATTGCAGTGTGGCCATCCCACTTTGAGGCTCTTTCTCACTTTCCCTCTTTCTCTCTCTCTTTTGTTTTCTTTTTTTTTTTTTTTTTGGAGAGGTTTTTGCTA